CCCATAATCTCCTTGATCAGAAAATTTGGGACACTACTGAGTTACATGACATTACAGTACAAGTTCTCATATGTCCTGAGTCTTAATTGACCTTGGAAGAAGTGAATGATTTAGAAATGCCTTGGTTTTACTTTTTGTGAACTTGATTTGTCAAAATTCTCAGATGCATCAAAGCCTTCGATTATTGTTGTTTTTTTTTTTTTCACCGATTTTTTTTTTATTGTCAAAGTTTACAGGAACAAATTAAATATTTAAAATCAAAAGCCAATTATTGTTTTTATGGTTTGTTTTAAATAAAGATCTTATATTTCTAGGTGGTTTTGTTTCATATATTTGGCTAATGGAGTGAGCCTTTTATTGTGAAATATTCATTTTTCCCATTTTAATATTTTTTGAATCATATTATGATTCAAAAATTTGTTATTTTCCTTTCTGTTGCCTTCAGTATGGTATATGATACATCCTTTAATTTTTAGCATTTGTTATCTAAAGATGTACCTAGATGTTATCTAATTTGATAGTCTTTTTTTTTTTTTTTTTTTTAATGCTGAGCTATATTGCCAGCCCTTTTTTATTTTATATTGAGACAGGGTCTCACTAATTTGCCCAAATTTATGATCCTCCTGCTTCACATTCCTGAGTAGCTAGAACTACTTGAGTGCTTCATTAATAGTCTCTTTTGGTAGGGAAACAGCTCATTTGAATTTTCTGAAAGTAACTAATAGCTGATTTTATTCTAAAAGTAGTCTGTCATTAAACTTGCTGCATTTTGTGCCTTGTTTCATTTTTCTTAAAACCTTTTGTAGACTTAGTTTCTCTTCATTTTCTACTTTCCCTTTATGAGTTTGGATAAAATGCTTTTTTGCAGGGGCCAGGGAGATAGCTTGGTGGCATAAACGCCTGCCTAGCAAGGTCCCAAATTCAATCCCCAGTACAGAAAAAAAAAAAAGGAACCGTTAATGCTTATTTTTGGGGGATGGGGTGTTGGATAGCTCAGCAGCATAAACGCCTGCCTGCCTGAGTTTGATCCCAGGTATCCAAAAAAAAGTGCTTTTTTTTTTTGGGCCAGGGAGATGGCGCAGTAAGATAGGCGCTTGACTGGCAAATGCAAGGATCTGAGTTCCACCAAAAAAAAAAAAAAAGTGCTTTTTTTTAAAAAAAAGAAAAAATGAATTTAGAACAGGGTCTACAGGGTCTCACTACATAGATTGGAATTGCAGTGATTCTGTTTTCAGCCTCCCATGCACTGGGATTACAGATGTGCATGACACCACGCCCAGTCTCATTCAGCATCTCAGGGGAGGAAGGGGGGCAGTGTTGCAAGTTGGGGATCGAACCCTGGCTGCTGTGCTCTGCCAGAGCAGGGGATTTAGTCTGCTGAGCTATCTATCTCACCAGCCCTTTCAGTCTGGTCTTGAACTTACTATGTAGTTTATACTAGTCTCAAACTCCGCAATCTCTTTTAACTCAGCCTCCAGAGTGCTGGGATTACAGGTGTATACCACCATAACTGATGAATTTGCCCTTTATTTCATGACATTTGGATGTATGTTTAATTTGCATTTCTGACATGATCTCCATTTTTCTGTTTTCATTTATTTTTGAGACAGGGTCTCATTCTGTAATTTGGGCTAGTCTCGAACTCATTCTATAACCTGGGCTGGGCTTCATCTCAGTGATCTTGCCTCAGCCTTCTCAGTGCTGGATTATAGGTATGTGCCTCCATGCTCGGCTCTCCCTCCCAGTTCTCAGGTGTACCTTTTACTTGATTTTGCAGATTGCTGCCTGGGCCACTGTTGAGAGCATCCTTTTTTGTCTGGCCCAGAGCCAGAACTTTCACTATGATGTTCAATAGTCTCTTCCTGTTAGCTGCTACTACCGTAAGATGTTTCCTTCAGCGAATGGAATCCCTCCTGTCCTCTTGCTGGGCCTTATCCCCCTTTTGTATTCAGCCTGTTGCTCCTGGTTTTTATTTCCTTTGCAGGTCGGTGTTCCTGAGTAGTGGCCAAAGTATGAGGGTCGGGAGGCCCAGCGACTTGTGCTTCTCTCTTGCAGGAATGTGAACTGACAACCTATCAGCCCCTTCCTGAGAGGTGATGCCGAGCTGTGTGCAAGTCTCTTGGACATGAAGGTAACCCCCTCCAGCTTCAGCCTGGTGGCTCTCCTAGGACTGAAGTGGACACAGCCCTTCCCCAGGGAATTCTTGGTTGTGTTTCTCCTCCACCCCACATGTAGGTGTTCATTCTTTTTCCTGTGCCTTCCCTCAGCAGTTCCTCTATAGCCCAAGCTGGCCTTGAACTCAGGATCCTCCTGCCTCAGTCGAGGGAGCTGCTAGGATTACACATGTGTGCCATCACACCTGGCTTTTCTCTGTTTTTTCTGGGTTCCTTTGGGAACTATAAAATTTCCCCTCTTCCAGGCTTTAGAGCTGCTGCCTAAGTTAATGTTTTTTGTTTTTTTTTTCCGGAACCAGGGATTGAACTCACGCCCTTGCGCTTGCCAGGAAAGCACTTATTTTACTGAGCCATCTCCCCAGCCCCTGCTGCCTAAGTTAGCAGTTTGTTAATTTCTTTCTTTTTTTTTTGAACACCCTCATTTCCTTTATTTCCAGGGATTGAACTCAGGCCCTTGCGCTTGCCAGGGATGCGCTTAGTTTGTTAATTTCTAAAAGGCATCTGATATCAAGGAAGGGAGAGGACAGGATGAGAGAAGAGAACATGGCTGCTAACTGGAAAAGTTGCTTTTGGATAATTTATACAAAGACATCTTCCTCTTGCCATGATGGGTATTCTCAGGGCTGCATTCCAAGTGGAAGAGCCAAGGGACTGCTGTGGTGACTATACTGGCCCCTGATGCCCTCACTCACTCCTATGTTGTTTGTACCTTGGCTTGCTCCTGTACCAGGGAGAGTCCTGGGCTCTGCCTCAAGGAACCTCAACTGGAGCCTGCAGCCAGGTGAGCATCTACCTGCCTGCTGTGCAACTCCAGGAAGGTGCTGGAAGGAGACAAGGGGAGGGAGGCCACCCCCTCAGATGGTATCATCTAGGCAGTCGGCAAATAGAAACACATTTCCTTTCGAGATTTTAATTTATTTTAAAAACTTGGAATGTACAATAAAACAAAAGTAAATGGCACAAAATAAATTTCAATTCTCACCAACGAGGAACAATATAATTCTGTATATTTTTAATTATTGAAAAATGTATTTGGTACAGGGTCTTACTATGCAGCTTGGACTTGTAGTGATACTCCTTTTTTCAGCTTCCTCAGTGCTGGGATTACAGGTGAGTGCCACCATGCCTGGTTTTGGTGACCATCAGCATGCCTGGGGACAGGGCCACTGTGGCATGTGGTGCCAGGGAATAAACCCTGGTCCTTGTGCTTTTTTTTTGGTACCAGGAATTGAACTCACGACCCTCTTGCACGTTCCAAGCAGGTGCTTGTGCCACTGAGCTATATCCCTGGCTCTTTGCTTTCATTGTTTTGACAGGATCTCACTATGTAGTTCAGGTTGGCCTTGAACTCACTATGTAGCTAGCCCAGGCTGCCTTGAACCTATGTTGAACTCACAGAGATCCTCCTGCCTCAGCCACCCCTCAACCCTGCCGGATTACAGGTATATACCACCACACCTGGCTTTTTGTACATCTTTCTAACCTTTAAGATTTGAAAAGCTGGGGCTGGTGAGATGGCTCAGTGGTCTAAAGCACCTACTTAGAACAAGCTAAGCTAAGCTAAAGCACAGAGACCTTGGTTCAATCCCCAGCACCACATGCCAGCCAGCCCCGCCCCCTGGTGGGCTGAACTGGCCACACACACACTAAATAAATAAAAATAAATAAATAAAGTTAAAACAAAAACAAAAAAACAAAACCATTTAAAAAAATTAAAAAAAAAGATTTGAAAAGCTTTTCAAACAGGTAGTAATATATGCAAGTTGTATGAAATTCAAAAGGTATAAATTCTCTTCCTCTTACCCAGTTCTTCAAAGACAGGCAATTACTAGGACACCTTTATTTTGACACACATAACATACATAGGAACGTACTTTTATCCCCTCCCAAATGGTGGCATTCTGTAACAGTGTTGTGCATTTTGTGTCTGTCACATAAAATGCTTCAGAAATTTTTCCATATTGATATACTGCCTTACAAAAAAAAGTCTTATAATCTATTCTATTGCTGTACTCACAATTTATTTTGAGTGTATCAGTAGTTTACTGTTAGAATTTCAATGTCTATAGTTGATGTGTCTTTTTAGGCATGTGGATTAAATCTATAGTATAAATGATGTGGAAATGCTGGCTCAAAGAATAAGTAATTTTTCTAGAAATTACCAACTTGTCCTCATGGAGATTGTGTGTGCCAGTCCCCCTGCCTAGTGCCTTCTTACTCCTTCTCAGAACAACAACAGCAGTCAGCCTTTCTGGTGTTGTGAGCCATATTCTGCTCTGCCTCTTCATGCAGCATTTTCTTGTTCAGAGTGAACCATCAATATTTTCCATTCTGAAGATGAAAGAATTGAGGCAGGGAAAAATTTGGTGCTTTGTCTGTAATTAAGTCCCTGCTTATTCTGGCTTCTGGTCCAAGGTAACCAGTCTGTTTCTTTACAATTGAGCTTTCCTATCTCAGGAACTAGCATCCAAGCCACACTTCTCAGGTTTTCCTTATAGGACAATTTAAAGATACTAGGTTCTTAATTTTTTTTTTTTTTTTTTGGTGGGACCAGGGATTGAACTCAGATCCTTGTGTTTGCCAGTCAAGCGCTTATCCTACTGAGCCATCTCCCCAGCCCCTAGGTTCTTAATTTTTTTAAAAAAGTTGCATGTAATATTAGCACCCTGGAAGGCAAGAGGATCACACGTTCAAGCCTGTTCTGAACAATTTAGTAGCATAGTGAGATGTCTCAAAAATTAATTTAAAAAGGGAGTTGCAGGGAATTCTGAGGAAGTAGCTTAGTAGGAAGACTGTGGGTTTAATCCCCAGTACTATAAGTAAATAAATAAATAAATTAAAAGATAATAAATGAAAAACAACTTCTAGATTTACTTTCCTATTTTCTACTTTTCCTAAAAGACTGAGATCTGAGACAGTCAACTGTCAGCTCTTCCAGGGCAAGGTCTTCAGGCCCTCTAAGCATCTCTGTAAGTGAAAGTACTTGAGTGCTCCAATCAGTGATCATCATGTTAAATATAACATGGCTTCCTTAGATTCAAGTTCTCTCTTTTTTTTGTGGTACTGGTGATTGAACTGAACTCAGGACCCTGTGCCTGCCAAGCAAGCGCTTATTCCACTGAGCTATCTCCCCGGGCCCTAGATTCAAGTTCTGATAAGCAGTGCAAGAAGAAAAATCTAAGGAATTATAGTTAAACTAGTTTAACAAACTGGTATACTTTTTCTTTTTAGAATATTGGATGTATATAGGAATCGTGTGTATATGGGAATCGTGTGTATATGTGAGTTGTGTGATGTCAACCATGGTTTGGGTATGGCCTCTTTAAGTCATGTTGGAGATATGGTCCCCAGCACCTTGGTGTTCAGAGGTTGGACCCTTTGGGAGGTAACTGGGTCACTGATGGATTAGTGGACAAATGGGTCATTGTGGGAGTGGCTTTGTCATAAGATTGAACACTCACCTTCGCCTGCTGTGCCTCACACCATGTTTCATCCTCTGCCTTATTAGAATGCAGCAAAAAGCCTCTCACCAGATGCCAGGCGGATGTTAGCATCATGCTCTTGGATTTCCCAGTCTCCACAATCATAAGCTACATAATTCTCTTATTTTTTATGTTATTGGACTTGAAAATGAACCAAGACACCCTGCTCTGGCTGGAATCAACACTTCACATCTGTGAAGTGTTTTTAGAGCACTTTTACATTCATTTATGTTTCAAACTTGTGCAAGCTCCATGCTACGTATTTGACATATGCTGTGTCATCATGAAAAATGTTTTTCAGAAAGACTTAAGAAGCTAGCAAGTAGCTATTATTATGCATAAGTTGGTTTGCTTTTGGTTCTTTCAGAGTTTCCCCCCCAGAAGAAGGACCTTGGGAAGTTTGGGTGGCACACTGGCCCATATAGCCTCTTTTGCAGACTCACTGGCTGTGATTTCCTTTGGCTCAGAGAATTAAGCCAGCTTCAGGCCAGGTCCCTGGGTTTCCTTGTCTATTTCTTCTTTGTCTATTTCTTGTTCTTTAGGTCTGAAAACTCTTCAAGGCTTGAGAGGAAGTGCAGTGAGTTGATTCTCATGTACCTGGAGAAGAGAATGTAGAGGCGGCGGAACCACAGGAGCTGGCTATGGTGGCAGCACATAGCTTTCTAGAAAAAAACAAAAGGGGCTGGTTATGGACACTTTAGCTATTTCTGTTAACGTTCTGATCTGCTTTCTCACTCAAATCCTTCCTCCCAGTAACACATTACATGCTATACTTTATCTGGCATCTTCCTGCACATATAGATGGGTCTCCAACACTGCCTCAGCTTCCCAGCTCCTTACTCCCCTGTGGTTAGAGCAGATGCTCCTAAGAACACTTGCTATGAGGACACCACCACTGCTGGTCTGCGGCCATCATCTCCACATGAATAGTGCTGTGAGTTAAATACTACTATTATTAGGTATTTCTGTTTGTTAATTTTTGGTTTTTTGGTACTGGAAATTCAACCCAGTCCCTTCACACTGAGCTAATCCCCAGCCCTTATTTATTAATTTATTATTATTATTATTATTATTTTGTGGTACCAGGGATTGAACTCAGGGGCTTGTACTTGCCAGGCAGGCACTTATGTCACTGAGCTATCTCCTCAGCCCTTAGTTTTTATTTTGAGACAGAGTTCTGCTCGGCTGCTAAGTTGCCCAGGCTGGGCTTGAATTTGTGATCCTTTTGCCTTAGCCCCCAAGAATTCTGGGATTATAGGCCTGCCACTACCATGCTTAGCCATTTTCTCCCCTCCCTTAAGATACATGAGGAAACTAAGCAGTCTCAAATATTTAGTAGGTAGCAGAGTTGAGATTCAAACCCAGAGCCATCTGCCTCTGTGTCCTACATTCTTAAACATTGTGCTCTATTACTTCACTTATACAACACAAATGGGTATTTTAGAAGAAGAGGAAGAAGTGTCCTGGGAATGCAGTTCAGTGATAGGGCTCTTGCCTAGGATATACGAAGTCCTCAGGAGACGATATGAGTTGTTTTTCCTTACCTTCTAGCAAGGGTGTATTATTATTATTTTATATTATTATTATTATTAACATGGTGCTTGGATTGAACCCAGGGATCCTTAAGATGCTGGGTAAACACTCTACCACTGAGCTATATCCTTGCCTTTTCTCCCCTTTCATCTTATTTTGAGATGGAGTCTCACTGATTGTCTAGTCTGGTCTTCAACTTGCATACCTCCAGCCCCAACTTCCTAAATAGCTAGGATTACAGCTGTGCATCACTATACACAAATGTACACATATGTGAAATGTTGCTGTTTTTCTCTAAGTACTATAATTCCTACACGACTTATAGGGGGTGAACATACCAGTGATAGTCAAGCTTTAGATGATAAAAGGAACTGGAGCAGAATTATCACCATAGAATATATTCAGGCAGAATATTACATATCATCTTACTACAGGAAACCCAAGTAAACATTTTAAGTAAACTTTATTTTCACAAGCAAAAAGGATGTCTGAACTCACAGAATGGAGTTAACATTTTGATAACCATAATAAAATGTTTAAGAAACTACTGAGAGAAGGCATGACCTTTATTTATATAGTCGGTACTACACTTGATCTGTGTCCGTGGAATGCTGATGCTGCCTAAGGATTTTCTACATCATGGTGTTTAGGTGGCCTATCTAATCCTTTTGCTGTTGTGGTATCAGGGATGGAGCGCAGGACTTTGCACTTACCAGGCAGATGCTTATGCTGCTGAACTATATCTCTGGCAGCTTAACTAATCTTTCAATGATTTTAGCAGTCATTCAGTAAGATGGACACTTAGAGAAATTACTTATTTCTTGTCAGTTTTTCATTAAGTATATTTTTATTAGCTTTCCTTAAATTTTCTTTTTTCTCTTTAGTACTGGCAAAGTATTCAAGAAAGAAAAAGGGAAGAGTGGGAAAGAAACTGACTGCAGAGCAAGCTTGGGCTAAGTACATAGAAAACGAGGGTTAAGAGTAAAGATGAAGGTACATGCTAGGAGCTGGGGAGATGGCTCAGTGGAATAAGCACTTCTCTGGCAAGTGCAACGGCCTGAGTTCAATCCCCGGTTCTGAAAAAAAAAAAAGCACATGCTACATCTGGGCAACAGTGTGGGTGATCATGGAGAGGTATGGCAGCCTCAACCTTACTAAGGGAATACTGAAAAAATAGCAAAACTGAGAGTGCAGTTTTGTATATTTTGTTTTTCTTCCTCTTCCGGGGCATTTTCACTAGCTACCTCTCAAAACGCTGATTTTACTGGTTATATAGTACTACATAATTTGCCTACTGAATAGTAGTCCCTATTTTGACCACTCTGAATTATACTAGTGAACATCCTTGCACATTAATTTAGAGACTCATCTTTGTTCATTTCCTTAAAATTCTAGAGAAATATAAGTTATTGGGCCAGAGTATGAATTATACAAATAATACAGGATTATAAAAAGTGTTTAATAATAAAAAAAGTCTTGAATCCCACCTTTTGGAAGTAATCACTATTAATATTGATTTGTGTGTGCTTTTGTGGGAGAATATAGCATGCTCTCTACATACCATTTTATAATAACATGTTTGCTTTCCATAATATATCAAAAGGTAAAAATGTTCTTTAAGCTAAAAGGTAAAAACAGTTTTTAGATGACTTCTCACATTCATTATTTTTGCTTCCCAGAGTCTGTGACAATTTACATACCTGTTTCATTAAAGCTTTAATAGTTAATTTTTTTTTTTAAGATTTATTTATTTGGTACAGGGTCTTGCTACGCAACTCGGACTTGTACTGATTCCCCCAGTCTCAGCCTCCCCAGTGTTGGGATTACAGGCATGCATCACCATGCCTGGTTTCGGTGGCCGGCTTAGTGTGGGGGCCCACAAGGCATGCGGTACTGGTGATTGAACCTGGACTGCTGAGCTATCTCCCCAGCCTAACAGTGATTTCTAGTTTGACTTTTTCTACTTTTCTAGTAAAAAAATTACTTTTTATTTTCTTATCCTCAAAATAATTCCACTGATCTGACATATTGAATGTAGGAAATTCATGTTTCCTATTTCACACACATAGCCATGACAGAAAACATAAAGAGAATACAAAAAACAACATGAATGGGTGAAAATTAAGATCAACAGCATCCTGAACATACAGAATTCAAACATAGGAGTGAGTTCCTAAGGTGGAGTTTGCTGAGTAGGGGCTTTTCTAGATGGGAGACCCAAACTTGGACCTTAGAGCTCGGAGCCAGGAAGGGCCTCCTTCTCTTGTGGAGCAAAGCTAGGGGGCAACAGTGCCTGCTGCACAGATAGTTGAACATAGGGACAGCAGCACTGCGCCTTGTTACCTGCTGACTCAGCCAGGGACTGGAATTAGCATCGCAGGACATGATTCTGGCTGTTCAGCAACTACAGAGTTCTTGCACAGGAGGGGACATGGAGGAGGAGGAGGAGGACAAAATCAACAACCTACAGTACCTTTCCCCACATTTACAAAGCAGACTTCTTGAAGACATAAAGTTGACTTAATGAAAAGACAGCTAACAAAATCAGCAATTGGTCTGTAAATATATTCTTGATGAAAACAGGTTTATGGAACAGTTTATCCAGGCTAAAAGAATTAGATTTAGGATGTTCAAAGAGCTAAGTAAGAACAAGAAATTGTGAGTTAAACAGATGCAACAGTGGGTACATAGGAAATAAAACAAAGACAAAGTTTGGAAAACAAAATATGAAATAGAAAAAAAACATAAAAGGAAAATGAAGGAATGCAGAGAGGCAGGCATGGTGGCACATGCCTGTAATCTACTTACTAAGGAGGCTGAGGAAAAAATTTCAAGTTCAAGGCTAGTCTGGGCATCTCAGCAATACCCTTTTTCAAACTAAAAAATAAAATGAGAAGGGTAGAGTGTGAAAGTGAAAAGCACAGAGGTCTAGGTTTCAATTTTAGCACTGAAAAATAAAAAGCCCCCAAAAGATATAAATCTAAATTACTAGGCCATATATTACTAAGAGTCCCAGAGGGAGAATGAAGGCAATATGACACAAGCAGCAAGAGGAGTTATCAAGTGAAGACTTTTCAGGAATGCCAAGGATGGGTAATTGGTTTGAGAGTACTGAGCAGAATTGTGTAAACAAGATCGGCCACAGATCTGCAGTAGGACAGTAGGGCCCAGACACAGAGAGGTAAACTTCACAAACAGAAAAGATTATATAACACCAGGCATCCCTCAGTGTAGACTCTGACAAAGATGAAGTGAAATAGAGATACATCTTCAAAAATGCTAATACATGATGGCATAGAGCTGTAATCCCAGCATTCTGGAAGGTAGAGGCAGGAGAATCTCAAGTTGAAGTCCAGCCTGGGCAATTTAGTAAGACCCTGTCTCAAAAAAACAAAAATAAGAGTTGAGAATATAGTTCAATGTAATATCTAGTACCAAAAAAAAAAAAAAAAAAAAAAAAAAGCAAAGGGGAAATAAACTATCCTCTCCAGCTAAACTCGCTCAAAAGGTAGGACATTTATACATTCAAAGGCTAAAAGATTTTGTCTTTCTTAGACTCTCACTTAAAAAGTTACTAAAGAAGAGTTAGGGTGTTTAGCTCAGAGGTAGAACACTTGCCTAGCATGCCCAAAGCCTTGGGTTCAACCCACAGCACTGAAAAAAACAAAAAATCCACTAGCAAAGGAATCACTAAAGAATATATGTGAGCAAAAGGAGAACCCAAAAGAATGGGTGAGGAGGATGAGGGCCAGGACTCAAGCGTACCCCAGATGTAACAGCCTAAGCTGCACTGGAGAGTGGGGAAGGATTGGTCATGTGCAGTTAAGTGTGCAGAGGAGCATAGATTATTGATTAACTCCTTGCTTTGAATTTTATTCTTATTGATGACATTAAAATTTTAGAAGTCCGCCAGACATGCTGACAGACTGGCAAGAGGACTGCTAGAGTTCTAGGCCAGCCTGGGCTTTGTAGTGAGTGAGTTCAAGGTCAGCCTGAAATATATAGTAAGACTGTCTCAAAAAAGCAAAAAAACCCAAACATACCCCTTCCCAAAAGAAAAAAAGGAAGGGACTATGGAAAATTGACCAATCCCAGGGACGTGTTCAACCAAAAACATAAAATTGTTTTAATACAAATAAATCTAAGGCTGGGTGTAGTGGTACATGCCTGTCATCTCAGGAGGCTGAGGCAGGAGGACTGCCATAAGTTTGAGGCCAGCCTGGGCTATGTAGTGAAATCCTGTCTCAAAAAACTAAAATAACAGCACCCTCTAAATATATCACTAGTTACAAATAAAAATAGAGCACATATATTTCCTGTCAGATATTTCACAGCAGGATTAGAAAAGCTACATGCTGCTTATAAAACACAATTAAAAACACAATAAAAAGTTAAAATAAAAAGATTTTTAAAAAAGAGAAATAAACCATGCAGAGACTAACCTAAAGAGACACTACAGAATAATGAAAAGCAAAGCAAAAGTGGATAAAAAGCTGATGAGAAAAATGTTAATACTATACTACAAAAATAACACTCCTCCTTTTTTTCTAGTGTGAGAGATGAAATGAGAAAGGGGCAAATCCAGGTTCAGGACAGGAGATCTTTCCATAGTCAGATCCAAAAGTAATAAGGCAAAATGTTAAAAAATTAGTAAAGTTACAAAAGTTGTTTTTTTTTAAAGTTACAAAAATTTTGGTCATTATAAATACTAAGTTTGAGCTGCTATCTATCTAGAACCTTAAATACAAGGAGTAGAGAACACATGTTTACAGGTGTACATGTTGATTTAGCACTTACAAAAGCTGAATATAAACTAGGTCACTAAGGAAATCTTAATACACTTGAAAAGATTATTGTAACACAAACTGCATTTACTGACTACAAAGCAATTAAATTACAAATCCACAAGACTGCATGTAGATGCATAGAGACATTGGATTTGCATTATTTGTGGTAGTTAGTGTTTATAACGTCACTGAGAACTCTCAATTTGTGAAGATGCGACCACTGCTCTTAGGGAATAGAGGTTTCTGTGAGCCTCTGGTCACACATTTTCCTAAATTCATTAGTAACACTCTCTTAGGTATGTTCTGTTTAAAGAACTTGACAGCTGCTGTTTATTTACTAGCACTGACCCGTTGGCCGTTGGCCGCAGCGCCATACCTCATGCCCACGTGCAGCTTTCTTAATACTGTTTTCTCTACAAGGCACATCGTAGTGTCCTGTGCCTGAGGACACTAGCTAGCTTCACCATTAGAGATCAGCCATTTAAAACAGCAAAATCCCCAAAATCATGCTAATGAGAAGAACGTGGCACTAAAAATAGGACCTCTTTTGTGAGAGCAGAAACAAGAGGCCAGCGCTGCCGTGCTGAGTCTCCCCTGGAAACAGGCGTGTACGTGTCAGGTGGCTCTGCTGCTCACTGCCCTGCGAGCACACGTGACTGTGAGGGGCTGGAAAAGAAAGCTAGTATTGATCTTGGAATTACAAATTTTTAAAAATTATTATTGTTATTATCATTTTATAGTACTGGCACTGAAATCAGGGCCTTTCCACTGAGCTGTATCTGCAGCCTTTCTTCATTTTTAAATTTCGAGATCATGTTTCCCTAAGCTGCTAAATTGCCTGAGGTGTGTGTGTGTGCTTAGGCAAGCGCCATAACGCTGAGTTACGTCCCTAGCCCACAGGAGTTCCCAGTGCTCACCTTGGCCTGTGCCACTTCTTCACTGGTGAGCACAAAGAGGACATCCTGTGTGTGCAGCAGAGACCAGGGCAGATCCAGAAGGGAGAGGTACTTGCGCAGCACATTCACAGACTGCAGCGTCAGCACAGAACACCCTGGGGGAGGGGACAGAGGAGAGCCTTGTTCCCAGCCAGATCTTCCCCTGTGCACAGGCCTGTCCCTGTGGCTAAGGGGGAGCAGACCAGCTGCCATTGAGTTGCCGGGTGTCTCTGTGGCACCAAAGCTGCTATTTGCCCATGAATCTCACCAACAGGAAGGGTAAAGGGGCCGCAGAAGACCTGGTAGGCCACCCTCTATCCCACTGCTGCCTCTGAAAGAAGTGACAAGTGACTAGAATTTGGCATCTGGCTACCTCAGCGCCAAGGGAAACAGGAATTTCTATAATGGGAGGCCGAAGACCTGTTTCAAGCTCTGTCGCTGAAGAACTGCCCAGGTTGAGGCCGGGCACACCTACAGCCCAGTACTCTCGGGGGCTAAAGCAGGAGGACTGGAAGTTTGGACACAGCCTGAGACACTTGTGTCAAAGTAAAAACCTTTGAAAGGTCTGAGGATGTAGATCAGTGTGAAGGTCCAATACTGGGGGAAATAGTCCCTTAACTGCTCTGAGTCCCACTCTTCCTTCCTGCTCCCTCCCTTTCTTCTTCCTTTCCTCTGTTCCTTTCTTCTCCTTTGCCCCTGCCTTATCCTCTTCTCTCTTTGTCTTTTTGGGGATCTATATATATTTTTTTTCATTTTAAAAATTTCTACAATTAACATTTAAAATGTTTTTTATTTTATTAGCATGAATATCTAGTACATAATGCCTACAGTCCTTGTAGAGTTGGTATCAGTGCATAGCACATCTTAATTCCTTTCTTCGTCCCCTCACTCCCCTAGCCATCATTTCTTGATCTCTTTGTTTTCTGAAACACGTTCACAGCACTTGTTTACATCCCTTGTGTGGAGCTAGTTCCTGTGCATCATACATTTTAATTCCTTGTTTGATCCCCTAACCCCCCCTTCACTCCAACTCTTGATCCCCTGCCCTCTGAGAAAGAGCTATCTCCATACTTCCTATATGCATTTTTTTATTTTGCTGTTTGCTTTTACTTAGGGTTTCTCATATAAGAGGAACAATATGGCATTTAAGGTTGTGGCTGGTATTACACTTAACATTACCGTTGTGTGTGTGTGTGTGTGTGTGTGTGCGCACGCGCGCGTGTGCGGTACTAGGGATGAAACTCAGGGTCCTCTGCATGCTACATCCCCAATCTCTAACATTATACTCTTAATGTGCAACCATTTTTCTACAAATGACAAGTTTATCCTTTATGGCAAAGTAGTACTCCATTATATATGGATACCATATTTTCTTTATCCATTCGTCTGTTGATGGATGCTTCTAAGATTTAGCTAATAAGAATTAGTCTACTATAAACATCAGTATGCATGTATCTCTGTAATATGATATCTTTAACTCTTAGAAGATAGGAAGATAGCTGGATCAAATAAAATCCTCCTTGTCTTCCTCTTTGCTTTTGTTTTTCTATGGTCTAGGCTGGCCTTGAGCTCCCTATACTGCCCAGGTTGGCCTCAGATACAGAAACACAGATCCTTCTGCCAAATGCTAGGATTATGGGCATGTGCTACCATGCCAAGCTTGCTTGCCCTTCTGTCTCTCTCTTTGTCTCCCTCCCTTTCTCTAACTCTCCCTCCCTCCTTCCTTCCTTCTTTCATTCCTTCCTACCCTATCTTCTTCCCTCCCTTTCTCTGACTCCCCTTCCCTCTCTCAACCTGACAGGATCTTAATATGGGCTTCATTATGTTGCCCTGGCTAACCTAGAACAACCCCTGGGTTCAAGCCATTCTCTTGCTTTAGCTTTTAGAGTATTGAGTTCTACAGATGCACACTACAGCACCCAACTCTTGAATCTCAGTTTTTAAATCTATATAGAAATGTTACTAGTATGAGACAAACAGTGCTGATATAAGACTGAAGTAAATTATAGTCATGTTTCTAAGACCTCTCAACTTGGTAAGTTCAGAAAGCCAATGCAGAGGGCACACACTTATGCTTATGCTTTCATTTACAGAATCTTGTGAGGCAAGATGGACCAGACATTAGTCTAAAGGGACTGAGTAGGGGTCCCACGCAATAAGTGGCCAAATGGGCCCAAATGCTTCCCTAAGGGTTAGGGAGAGATTTTTCTCAAGCAAATTAGTCCAAGTGTCACCTGTCAGCACTGTGCTAATTAGTTGGGGAATATGAATTTGGATGGACAGAGTGACAGAACACCAGAGACTAAAAAGACTTATCCTGTGAGAAAACTAGACACATGTGAGAGCAAGCCTGGCCTCTCAGAACATCTATAATCAGCCCTCTGGCATTTGCCAGTGGATACGGCCTGATAGAACTGAGTCAGGAAGTGAGGCTGCCTTCCCAGCTCTTGCCTTGATGCACCTTGGCGTGTGCTCTGTATATACAGTTGTCGCTCAATACTGGATGGGGATTTATTCCAGGAGCCCCACAGTTTCTTATACAAAACTACATAGTATTTGTATAGAATCTATATACTTCCTCTCAGTTTTCCACTTTAATACATCACTATACTTATAGATGTAGCATGTGATGTAAATACTGTGTAAATAGCTGTTATACTGTATTGTTTAGGAAACAATGACAAGAAAAGAGCCTGTATATATGCAATGCACATGCAGTCTTTTTCCTGAGTAATCGTGATCTGTGGCTGTTGACTCCAGGGCTGTGGTACTTGTGGATAAGGAGGACCACCAATATCTACAAATTTTTCTTTGATAAGTTTCTATGAGAGATGGCAACTAGTGGCTTTTTGCCAAAAAAGGGCAGGCCTTACCTTTAGGGAACTTCCTTTCTGAGTGCAAGGCCCTGGAGGGAGAAAGGAAAAAGAGAGGGTGAGAACTGTCACATATGTGTCACTGAGGCAGCCTGTGGAGGAAGGCCTGTAGGGTCCATTGTGCCTCCACACAGGGTCCCAGTGATTTCTTTTGCACACATCACTATTTAGAGTTCCAAGATTCCATACTTTTGGCTACAGCTGAAGGCATCTGGATGGGCACCTCAGCCAAGGACAGCTGATCCCAAGGCTGCTCTATGGCCTATGCAATGATTCTATGAAAATTTTGCCTATTAGATTTGAAGGTAACTGGGCTGGTGAGACAGCTCAGCAGATTAAGCACCTGCTTTGGCAAGCACAGGGACCAGGATTTGATCCATGGTCCCACATGCCTCTTTGTCTCTGCCCCTGGGGTGCGCTGAGCGGGTGGTTGAGTCCAGGAATGGTAGCACACACCAGTAATCTTAGCGCTGGGGAGGTTGAAAACAGGAGGATCATTGTGAGTCTGACCTGTGTAGTGAGACCCTGTACCAAACACATAAAAAAAATGAAGAAAAAAAAAAAGTGGATTAGATTTGAAGGTAACTACCTTGGACTCCTCAGTTTTTCTCTATAATGTATGACAGTAGAATATTTTAAAGTATTAATTGACATTTCCTTTCTTCTTTCTGGCTGCCCCAACTCCCACCTTCTGAGAGTAAGAGCCATTCTGTGATCACTGCCCTAAGAGAAGGGATGGATGACATGAGCCTAATAGCAATGATCTCTGAATTTCTTTCCTTCTTTCTTATTTTAAAAGCTAGGAGAAAGACTGGGGTGGCCAGCCCCTGATCCAACACATAGACACACGTACTTATATGAACAAGGACTCTTGGGAGAGGGGGTAAAGAAGTTGGAGAGTTGATCAACTTTTGGAACTAACTCTCTGGAATAGACCCAATAATTAGAAAAACCGGAATAAGGTCTCTGGGATGCTGAGAAAAAGATAACATCCTGCACTCTGGGGACTCTGACTTTGTGTTGACCAGGATAGCCACAGGAAGAGGTAAGCACTCACAGTGACAGCTCTTGCAGCCTGAGGACTCTCAGTAAGCAAGGCTATGGAGGGAGCCCTGGAGATGGGCAGAGAGATGCTTCCCATGGAAGGGAGACAGGAGGGGCTGAGAGGTAGCCAGAAAAGCCAGAGTGGGGGGGCCAGCCAGTGCCAGGCAGTCAAAGCAGCAATTCAGTGATGTCAGACAGAGCGAGATGCTACAGAAAGGCCAAGACAGATGAGGACTAAACTGAGTCTGATGACTTTAGCAGGTAGGACTGCCTATGCAGAAAAGATTTAGAAGATGGTGAGCATGACCACAGTTTTTTTTTTAATATGAAGTGCAGTGGCCCCATTAGTGTAGAGACTACCTTGAAAGTGTGGAGAGCCTGTGGTACTCCAGGCTCTTGAGGAAAATGGCCCCATGCAGTTCTGCTTTTAGAAAGTTATCTCCCTTGGGTTCTCTACTGGAATGGAGCCTTCCCTGATTCCCCATTACAGTGGAGAAGACCAAGGATGCAGTAAGCTAAGGGAACGTTGTGCCAGGACAGCATTGGCTGTTGTGGTGATCTTCGTTTGTCTGCAGGAGACCTGACTGGGTCCTTTCTCTGGTACAGTGTGAATAGTTAGTCACAAGTTTAGCTTGCTTGCTATCCATGCCTGTCCTGAGAGCCAAAGGCCTCAAAGTAACCAGGTGGTTAGAAAGTCTACTTCTGGACTGCCTCACTTTTCTATGTATCTTCACAGACACACTGCAAACTACAAATTAGAAAACCAAAAAAGACTAGCCAGGTGGGGTGGTGCAAGCTGGTAGTCCCAGCAATCAGGAGGCCTAGTTAGGAGGGACACCATGAGTTCAAGCCAGACTGAA